GGCAGTGTCGGCTGGCGACCCCCAGGGGGAGGGCCTTCTCTGTGGGTGCCCCCACCCTCTGGAACGAGCTACCCCCCAAGATCCGGACGATTCCGGATCTCCTAACCTTCCGCCGCGCCCTCAAGACATGGCTTTTTCAACAAGCGGGACTGACCTAGGGTGAATTTTAAATAGGGAATAATTTTTAAAAATTTTCAAATATTTTAAATATGACACAGCTATTAATATATTTGCTTTTTAATTGGTTTTATAGGGGAAATGTTTTTTGTGTTGTTTTTTAACATGCTGTGAGCCGCCCTGAGTCCCTCTGGGGAGAAGGGCGGCATAGAAGTTTAAATATAAATAAATAAATAAATAAATTACTTTATAATTGTATAAACAATTATGAATATGAATTCCTTAAAATTCAGTAATAAATGTTGGCCAATAGAGTTAGAAAAGGATTTAACAAATATTTATATAATTGCTTTTCAGGATCTATTCTCTTTTCAAAATTTTAACCATGCAACAGTTCAGTGGGTTTCTTATTTGTACCTAGCCTTTTGTCCATCAATTGTTTAAGTGCAAGCTTATTAAAAAAAAAAAACCACTTACCTTGCTGGATGGCTGTTACCAGGTTTTTGGAAATCATCAAATATAATTGCCTTTTAAAAGATAAAACAAGATCTTAGTTTTAGATATAACAAAACAAAACAATGATGAAAAAAGTTTGTATATATTCAGAAGCTTCTGGGAAAGAAACCATAAACTGAAAATGGCTGCTAAAAGCAGAGTGAAAGTAAAGATCTTTCAGTATAGGTATCATATGATTCTCCTCCTCCCACAAGCCTTTTTTATTTCTCTGAGTTCTGACAACTGCCTGGACAAATCCCTGCAGTTTTCTTTGCAACATTTTTGGAAGTGGTTTGCTTTTGCCCTGTTCCTAGACTGAAAGTGATTAGTCCAACATTGTACAGCTGTACAATTACCAGTATGCCTAAAGTATGACTAGAATTATGCAGGATTGGAATTGAATCTGCATTTATTTTGATATCATTTACTTATACCAACTAAGAACCTAGCTAACACTTATTAACCATCTGCCCACTTCTGAAGCTAGAAGTGTTGGTTGAAATAGCATAATATTTGTTTTTTCAAACATGGATTCTAAATGGCCATATTAAGGCTACATTCCGATCCAGCCATATGATGTGTATTTAAGCTTCTGCTAGGATTCAGATTCCAGCCTACCTTCAGTCTTGATCCAAAGTCATCTAGGGATTCCAAAGCTAAAAGATGACTAGAAGCTGTATCCTCAGTCCCAGCCCAGCACCTTAAGCACTATATCACACTGGCTATAGTATTTAAACAAAAAAATCTAAAAGAAACTCTTATCCACTGCTCCCAATAATCTATTGTGAGCTCTCACAGAAGTATATAAATGCAGTAAATAAATATTGCCAAAATTTGGATGATTTTATTTTACAGTATATTTATTACAGCTACTAAGGAAATATAATATAGAACTATAAAACGCTACATTAGATTTCTACATTAAAAATAAATTCACTATAATCATGCAGACAATCTGAATGGATATATTTCTAACACATAAATTCATGCCAACAAAGCTATAGGCACAGCATTTAAGATCAAGCTATGTTTTTTTTTACCTGTGTTCCTTTATAGAAAAACTCTGTACTCCAAACAGATCGCCCAGAAGGTCATTTGCACAGTGGACAATATGCTGTTGCTTTTCATCATATAGACGTTTAGACATAATATATTGACCAAGGTAGAACAAAATCTGCAACAGCAAACATTAAACAGTTTTGTAACACAAAATTTAGAAAGTAGAATTTGTACTGCATTTTGCTCACAGATTGCTCACAGGACAATTACATTTATTAAAGGTAGTTCCCAATTATGTCTCAGCTATAATACTGTTATGGTGCCCTTCTGAAATTGGAAATATTCCAGTGAGGACTAAAGGTGCTTTAGTTTGTCTTTGAGGTATGAGGACAACACCACAGCTTGATTGGAACCCAGCAACCATTGCTGGATGCTGAACTTCCTCTGGATGAAGGAGGAAGTGTGAAATTAACCTACCTGATCTTCAGATGGCCATTCCCTATGGGTTAACCACAAAGATGGAGGTTTTTGCGGTTGTTTTACAAGTTGAGTATGATGTAGCCTATGGACACTTGGACCTGTCAACCCTCATTTCTTAATCACATTTGAAATATTATTATTCTTCAATTTAAGAAAGATTTTCTTTTGTAACAGATAAATATTTCTGTGACTATAAACTTAGAAGAATTATAAACTTAAAAATATATTGGTATTTTACAATAAGCCAAATAATAGGGATTATATAAGAAAGGTATTAACAGAAGAAGGGCAACATTACTTTTAAAAAAATATTTTTCAAGAATTTGCATTGTAAAAATCTCTGTTGCATTAATTTGACTTAGTTCTTTCATGGGAATGCTTTTTGTTTTGTCTTAATATGGTTGATTGTTGACTGGATTTATAAAAAAGGCCACAGTAATTTGAGTAGTGTATTTCGCTGAGACATGTGCCTGTAATTACAGCTTTAAAGATACTAGGAGTGAAGTACAGATAATCCTTGACTTAGAACAGTTCATTTAGTGACTGTTCAAAGTTATAACAGCGCTGAAAAAAGTGACTTAAGACTGTTTTTCACACTTACGACCACTGCAGCATCTCCATGCTCATGTGATCAAAATTCAGACACTTAGCAACTGACTCATATTTATGACAATTGCAGTGTCCCAGGGTCATATGATCATCTTTTGCGACCTTCTTCCAAGCAAAGTCAATGGGGAAGCCAGATTCACTTAACAACCATGTTACTATTGTGTTTCCCTGAAAGTAAGACCTACCCTGAAAATACGCCCTGGATTGATTTTTGGGGGTGGGCCACAAGCCCTACCCCAATATCTAAAAATCAAGCTAGGGCAGGGATGTGAAGCTGCCCCATGCGCCCCACATCCACTTACCTTGCAGCCAGGCCTGTCCTCGCCAGCCCACTTCTTCTGCGGCATCCCCAAGCCTGCATTTTGCAGTCAGAGGCCCTTCCAGAAGGCCACTGTAGCCGAGAACCAAGCTAAGGATTCAATCCATAGCTGCAGTGGCCTTCCGGAAAGGCAGTTGACTGCAAAATGCAGGCTGGAGCTCCATTCTCAGCTGCAGAATGAATCTGCTCCTTCGGCCACAGAAGTGGGCCGGCTGGGCGGGTGAGTGAAAAAGGGCCCCCTCTGAAAATAAGACCTGGTGTCTCTTTTGGAGGCAAAAAAAAATGTAAGACCGGGTCTTATTTTTGGGGAAACACTTTAACTTAACAATTACAGTGATTCACTTAACAACTTTGACAAGAAAGGTTGTAAAATGGGGCAAATTTCATTTAGCAACAGAAACTTTGGACTCAGTGCTGGTTGTAAGTTAAGGATTACTTGTATCTGTTTTCTTTTCTGCCTACTACTTTCACTCTGGAATGACTAAGCAAAGGGAGAATGGAGGCTTTTCAGAACAACTGTTAGAGTAGAAAAGATAATGATAATGAAGATAAAGCAATCCCTTTTATAAACTTAAGTTTATTTCAATCAATGTTTGATGAATTCGGGACTAAAATTGGCTCAGTTGCTTGAAGCCAAATTTATGACCCTTGAAGGAAAGATTGAATAAGATGGATATTTAAAAGGTATAAAAGTATATAGGTAGTCCTTGACTTATGATTGGTCATTTAGTGACAGTTTGAAGTTATGACAGACCCCCAAATAGCCACTTACAACCAGGATTAAAAGTCCGATGTTTCCCTCCCTTTACCCTGCAGTCACACGACTGCATTGAGCACTTGGCATTTATGACTGTTTGCAGTTCCCACAATTATCTGACTGCAATTCATGTTTTTTCCAGTTTCTGGCAAAAAAACACCCTATAGCAGTGGTGGCGAACCTATGGCACGGGTGCCAGAGGCGGCACTCAGAGCCCTCTCTGTGGGCACACGTGCCATCGCCCCAGTCCTAGGCCTTCAGCTGGGTTTTATAAAACCTTTTCTCTTTAGGCCTCCGCTGCCGTGTACAAAAAAAAAAAAGGTTCAATCAATCAGTCAATTTCAACTTCTCACGGGGAAAAAAAAGATCTTGCAAAGTTGGAATTGATTGATTGAACTTTTTAGTCCCACCCAGTCTGCTGTTACCACCGCAGCCACGCCCTGCCAATGGGCCACACCCACCCAATGGGCCACACCCACCCGGCACCTGACAATGCATAAGTGGGTTTTGGGTTGCAGTTTGGGCACTCGGACTCTAAAAGGTTCGCCATCACTGCCCTATAGCATAATGACCACTGCAAAAAAGGTAATCAAATTGGGTGGAGTCATGCAATGACCCACTTTATGATCATCACTTACAACCGAAATTGAAGAGTCAATTAAGGTCATAAGTTGAGGACTACCTGTAAAGCAAATATATGGAAAAAAATAAAACAAGTTAATAACAGAATGAGAATCTTAGAGAATAAATCAGAAGTTAGGGATATGGAATTAGAAAGTCGTATGGATCATGTGGCTGTGCTGAACTTAGCGAGAAGGAACACTGTCTGAGGCCCAGAGCCATTTGGGAGAATCCAAATGAAGTGTTTAGAAGAAAACTTGTTCAGGCATGTGCTGGTATTGAAAGATTCTTTAAAGGGCTTCAAATTATTAATGAGAAAAGTAAAAGAAATTGGTGTATTTTAGGCTTTAAGATTAATAAATAAAAGACAAAGATGTTAATAAAAACATGAAAGTACAAGACCAAAGATAATTGATGAGTAAAAAGGATAAGATTGAGAAAAAGGTAAAAGACTTCAGTATTAATCTGATACATGTAAATTGAATGTTGTTTCAAAATAATTATAAGGCATTGAATGAAGTTAAAAAAGATAGGTTACAATGGGGAAAATTGCAATTGACACTGTTGGGGGGAATTTCTGTATTAAGATGAATGTTTTAATTAGAATGTTATTTTAATTTTAGACAATATGTTTTGAAAAATTATTGTACATTAATTTTAATGCTGAACTGAAGCCCCTTTTGGACTTTTTACATGAATCAGAAAAAATATTAAGAAAAATATTAAGAAACTGATGATTAGAAATAAAAGTAGATAAAAGAAAAATGTAAAATTAATGTTGTAAATGTAGAGTAAGCGTTTAATGTAAATCAATACTTATATCTGTTGTAAAGGAAAAGATGGAGGTCATTTCTTTGTATTTATAAAGAATAAAGAATGAAAAATGAGAAAGAAAGCAAAATCAAAAGTACAGAAATAAAAGGAAGGACTTTTGCTTTCATTTTCTCTTTTTCATTTTTGAGCTTAAATATTACTTTTGTTAGTTTCTGTTTATTTTAAAATCAAATGTTATTTTAAAAAAATGAAATTAGAAATATTCACTGAATGTAGAAAATAATTCTTTGAAAATAGGCAACTTTGGAAAACAGAATATGGGTCTTGCCTTTGCTCTCATATATAAGGCTAAGATAAAATCATAACCCACCATTTCAGCTGTGCTGTATTCTTCAGTCACATTATTGTAACTTGGCATGTTGTTCAGTGTATAAGAAATAAACACCTAATTCATTTTCACTTCCTATGTTGACTGCAATTAATCTATTTACCTCCTTCATGGTAAAAGTATCCTTTTCTGCACCAGCAAACTGTAGAAGTTTCATAAGCAGTGGTTTGGGTTTAATCTGAAAATATAAAGATGCAGTTTGTTTAGTTGTCTTGTTGAAAATATGGGATTTTTTTCCAAAAACTAACCTTGCTCTAAAGTTTTTAATATGCTCAAAAATAGCAAAAAATTTTGAGATCAAAAGCAAAAAGGCTCTCAGAGTTGCATCTAAAAGTAGAAGGGAAAAAAGCGCAATTTCCAAGCACGTGTTTCTATGATTCCCTAAGATCATGCCCAAATAATAGAGAATGCTATTTTAGTTAAAATCTTATATTCTGCTTATCATGAGATGGGCTGAAACTGGTTCTTAAAGTATTTTTATATATTCACATAAGACAGTGCAATCACATAACCAAGTAAATAACAGAATAGCTTTAAACATATGAAATGAAAAACATCCATATATAGGCCTTAATAACCAACTGATCTTATTCTGATGCCTAAAGGAATGTTGGGGCTTCTCAGATACTATATTGCCACTCTTTGAAAATACTTTGAATGCAGCCGATCAATGCAAACAGAATAGTTTCAAATGTACATATTCCACTTTTTTAAAAAAAAACAAAGGTGACCTAAGTTCTAGTTTTCCCTTAGGAATGGAAGCTGTCTGCATGACTTTTAGCCAGCCATTTTCAGCCCTGAACTGGGAAGTTGAAAACATCCCTCTACCAGACCACAAGTAGGTAGGTGAGGTTTGCATAATATTCTTACATCCAGGCTAAATTTAAATTCATCGCAAAGTGCCTACCCACTCATAGCATCTTTAACCTTGAGCCAGTCTTCAAATGAGGATAACATTTTTAAGTGATCTTCACTTTGCCTCAAAAGTGTCTTACCATCTCAAACACAGAGTAATACTTAACTATTCCAATTCCATCCTAGTAATTTTTAAACCTTTCAAATGATGCTACCTTGTACCTGAGAAATTTATGCTGAGAAATCTCATTAGCCTGAATTTCCCAGCACACTTTATAGCTTTTTCACTGGGTCTCTGGCTCCATGTGAATAATCATCTCAAGCATAATTACACAAAAGCATGTTCTTTAATGGATTTTTTCCAAGCAAATTAATACAAGCTAACCTTAGCTTTTTTTCTGAATGTCTAAACCGAAACACTGCAAAAGATTCTGAACAGTGAAGTGGGTCAGAGTTCTCCAATTTAAAAAAACCTATCAGCAGCATTCCCACATTGGCTATATCAACCTGTCATTTGCTGATCTGTCTCATTTGCTGACAAAATCACTCACTGCAGTTCCTAAATCATTGTTTAAAATTTAAAACGTGTGATCCATCTAACTTGTTTAACCACCTTTCCCCCCCCCCAAATTAAAGAACCTCGTCCTAGCATGGAGTGTGCAGAGTAGTTAACAACGCTAACAATCCGCCCTCTCCCTTCCTATTGTCCCGCTCAACAGGGACCTCTGGAAAATGCAATCGCTTCGGAAGGGCCTCGACATCGCCTTACACTTACCAGGGCTTCTTGATCCGAGCGGCCAATAACAGCTGAGCCAGCCGCAGACTGGTCGGTCGCAGAAGCCATTTTAGTATTGCACATCTGCCTGCTAGGGAGGAAAGAAGAAAAAAAACTAAGCTGAGGCTGTGCATCAGGCGACAGGACAGCAAAATCCAAAGCACCTCGATCACCTTACCGTAAGAGGCCCTGTAGCTACACAAGTCTCAACTGCCTCCCAAGGGCCGAGCATAAATAGTGGCCCCGCGACCTCGTTTACGGGCATGTCTGGACTTCACTCCTCCAAACAAAACGGCCAGGCATGTCCGAGCATGACTAGAGAGAGGCGCTGACTCAACAAGGTAGGAGGGATGGGAACAGCGAAGCCGCCATCGCCGCCCGTCCCCTCCGCTTTTTCCCAACGATCCCTCCAAGCTGAACGCGCCTTCCTGGAAATCTAGACGAGAAATCCCTCTTCCCGCCCAACTCCCAAGCCGCTCTGCGACTCCTTCCCTTGAGCTCGTCCTCCCTCGCCCGTTTCCCTACGCGCCTCTTTCTCTGTTAGCGAAAGGAAGCCGCTTCCTCCTGAAAGTGGAGGCCAAATTATTTCACGCCACGCGTCGCCATTTCAAACTAAGGCGCTCGTAGCTGCTTTCTTTTTTATGTAGCGGCAGGAGCCACTTCCTGGCTGAGGTGCGCGAGCGGCCTACGTGGCGCCCCCCGCAGACGCTCACGCCGTCTCCCGACGTCTCCCAGCCGGGACGAACAAGCGGCTTTCTAGGGAAGGGGCCAGTTTTTTTCCTCAGGGGGCCTGCCCCGCGCTGTCGTTCGTGTTTGAAACCGGTGGGGGAGGGGATCATCTGCTGCTGCAGACTTCCTGCGTCGCACTGTATTCATCGGGTTTAATTTAAAAAAAAGCTGCACAAGGTTTATAGTAAAGCAGCCATCCTATCAGCGTGTATATTTTTGTATGGAATCTCGGTTTGGCTTGGATTATTTCTGAGTTCATACACAAGCATAAAATCCGATGCATTGATTACTCCAAGTCTTTTTTCCACAACCTGAAGGATATATGTACATTAATATTGTGGAGACCGTGAGTTGTACTCCTGCCTTAGCCATCCATGAAAGTTAGCTGGGTGACTTTGGGCCAGTCACACTCTCTCCGCCTAGCTCATCTCGCAGGTTGGTTTGGGGGAAAATAGGAGGAAGGTATGTTGGATATGTTTTTTTTATATATATATATAAAAACATATCCTAAAAAACATCCAACATATATATAAATTACACACACACACACACACCAATGTACCCATACATGTACCTAATAGGAGCTGAGCTGTATTTTACTTAGGCTGAAAGCATAATGTACCACAGTACATTTATGTGTAAAATTCTATGTATGTGGAAGGGCAGCTTAAGAGGCATGCCCTGACATGTACTGTGGTACATTTATGCGTCTAACCTCTGTCAGCCTATGGAAAATACAGCTCAGCCACTTTAGTGAAGATTGCAATCTTAATACCTAATATACAGCTCTGAGAATTACTGGTGGTCTCTGAACCAGATTGAAATCCACTTAAAGTCATAGCACTTCCTGGATGAATTAGGGCCTGTCATCTCAGCCCAACTGAAGTTTTGTGAAGAACAAGAGGAGGGAGTTGTTAGATCGCGCAGGCAGTAAGACACGAGTCGAGTGACAGTCAGCTCTCGGTTTATTGGCAAGGCATAAAGTAAATCCGGACTGGCATCTGGGCCAGGGGAGCCCTCTTTTATGGGATTCCCCTGGCTTGTAATCACACAATTCCATTGGCTGGTAAGACCCCGTTGCTAGTTAGCCAACCAGCAACAGGCATGAAAC